GGTTAGGCACAAAGGTTTTCTGGGTGGGATCTTCCCCCTCTGGTTTCCGCCCCAGAGGAGAAGGAAAAGGAGGTGCTTGCAGGGTTTCCTGCCTCCCAGCACTTCAGGCGGAGCCTGCCCTCAGGGCTAATGTGCCCCACTGACTCCTGATATAAGCCCAGTTCTAATCAACAGTCTTGCTCCCATCAGCCTTAACAACCATTACTTCTAAAGAATAATTCCAGTTTTATCCTGGGTAGCAAGGACATTAACCCACCCAACTGTTAGTTTGTTTAGTCAAAAGCTGTTTCAGCACCTACTCCGTGCACAGCGTTGTGCCAGATACTGAGCCAGCATTAGCCCCAAACAAGAAGGCTGGCCAATGAGCAGCCACGTCATCATTCTAAGGGCTGCCCAAGTGCAAAGTTTCAGCCCAAAGAGCAGCAACTATGTGCACAAATGCTGCCTGAGTGTGCAGCCTAATTCCCTCTGTGTGTGCCCCACCCCTAGTCCCTAGGCAAACCGGGATGCAAGAGCGAGTCCCCGTTGAGAATGCTGGTAGCTTAGGTGCACTGCACTAAGGCAGCTATACTACATGCATCACACTCACAGCGGAGGAAGTGATCCGGAGTGAACATGAGAAAACCCAAAACCTGATGACCACTTCAATTCCCTCCACAGCCCCCTCCCACTTTACTGCTTCCCCTTCTTGTTGTGATGATCACAGGCAATTAACACTTATTGAGGGCCTACTAGGTGCTAACACCCAGTGCCCAAGAATTTTACAAGAACTGAGATAACTCAGCCCTTTGCTTTGCACATGCTGTTCCTTCTGCGTGGAACCCGCTTCCTTTCCTTACACATGGTAACAGCTTACACTACATCTCATCAGAGAAGTGCCTGCCCAGGCAGGAATGCCCTAACGTTTCCTCAGAGCACCCAGGACAACTCCAACTGCTCCCCTGTTTGCTGGCTCTCTCCCCAGCTGCGCTCAGCTCACGGCGCACAGATGTGCAACGCTTCCTTCTTGAATAAATTAAATGGCCAGTAAGTAATAACAAAAACCAGCGTTCACTGAGCGCACACTATGTGCAGAGGGCTGGGCTGAGCTCCTGGAGACATCAGGTCATGACAGCCGCGTGACAGCTGTATTATCATTTTTCCCATTTTACAGATTGAGGAAATTTTGTCATTTACCCCCTATTTTTAAAGAATGGAAATTAGAACCTGGTAAGCAATTTGCCCAAGGCCACAGGGCTAATAAGAGAGTTAGGATTGGAACACCATCTCCTGCTTCTCTCCCCGGATTACCAGGATTGCTCAGCTCCTTAGCTCCCTGCCTCCACTGCCCAAAAGGGCATTTTTTCTCCCATGCTGCCAGTGACCATTTTTGCTCCCTCCCTGAACCCTTAGCCTCCTCTCCCAAGGCACCCAATTTAGAAGTCCTCCCAATTCTTCCCCCAAAGTTCTACAACCCACCACCTCCAACACCTGCTGCGGACTCCCTCACTGTGCTTCAGCAGACATTTCGTACACAGACCCACCGTCTTTCAGCCCCAAGGCACAGCTGTGGGAATGCTGGCCACGGGGCACACAGGCAGGCAGAGCCCCCACCTCCTTGGGGAACTCACACATGGGTTCTGTACTTAAACCCAGCTTTCTGGGCTCCAGTTCCGACTCTATCTCCATCCCCCTCTGCCTGTATTTATAGTCGTGATGAGTGTGGGGCCACGTGGATGATGGACAGTCACCACAGCTCTCAACTGGAAAGGGAGCTGCCCACACCCGTTCCAGATCTATGAGTGAGAGGTCCATGAGCACCCACAAGGCCTGCGAGAGCCAGGAAGTACTTGGGTCCCAGGTCAGGGGAGCCACTTCACAGCTGGCCACGAAGGCCAATTTTAGAGCAGACACCGCTACAACAGTGGTCTCCAGAGGCCTGTCCTGGGTCATACTGGATCATCGAGACCACAAGCTGCTGGAAGAAGGGAAAGGTGGTGGGGACAAAAAGGGAAGGCAAAGGAGAAAGAGGGAGGCCAGGTCTTGGAGTTATCTGTGGATATAGTTAGGAGGAAGAGATGATAATACTGTCCTGTAATACTCAACTCAGGATGTCACTTACTTTTCGAAACCTTCAGAGACTCCTGGTTGACCACACCAAGGTCAAGTTCAAACTCCTTTGCAGGGCCTTCAAAGATCTTCATGCCTGGGTCCCCCACAGCCATGTCTGGGAGTCAAGGTGTTTCAGGCCCACACACCCCTGACTAGGGGCTGTCCTATCTAGAAAGCCTTCTTCTTCCACCATGGGCTGTCTCCTTCAAGGCACAGGACATCTCACTTCTAAGGAAGACTTCTGGCACACACTAGGGTCAGCGGGGGAAGAGCACAAGCTCTGAGGTCAGACTGCCTAGTTCAAAGCTCAGTTCCACTGACCAGCAAGGCTTGATCCTCTAGGCTGCCTCCCCGTAAAGCACAAAGGTGACTGTCCCCACCTCACTGGGTGGTGGCAAGATGAAAAGAAGGCTCTTTGAACTGTGCCTGGCACACAGTAAGTGCTTGATAAACAAGCTCTTGTTCCTACTGCTCTCCACGCCCCTTGAGTGCCCTGTTTCAACTGCAAGCAGAGCGCTGCCTCACACAGACTGGTTATACTTTGGACTCCCTCAGCCAACCACAGATTTTTCAAAGACATGACCCAAGACTCAGGTCTCTCTTCCTCGAGGCTCAGTATGTTCCTAGGCACACAGTAGGTCTTCAGTAAATGCCTACTATCAGTGAAGGTCCAGTGGCAGACCCCACACAGAGCTCCCCCAAGGCCTGGCTGCTGGCCTTCCACAATTCACAACCAATTCCCCCATCTAACGCCCCACAGAATGAGAAGGGCATTCTCTGATACTCGGTTTCAAAACAATAAAGGGCTGTACACTGCCTTACTGAGGCTGTTTCCACTCCAGGGAGTTCACAGGGAGAAATGAGCACAGCAGGGACTGGAAATAGCACTGAGCCCCTCTCGGGGAGAGGCCTGCCAGAAAGCAGGAGCAAAACCTCAAAGGCAGAGAGGGAGAAAACAGCCTCCAGACAGGAGCCTAAGCTCCACAGAACTCGGCCAACACAGCAAACTAGGACAAGGACATCACTCACACCCATTCCGCCTTAAAGTTCTTCTTCCCACCCACTTGGAGAGCTTTAGAAGGGGTTCCTTGTATAACCCACCACCATGTGGGAGCAACTTACAGCACATCCCAAATCCCAGGAGCTACACAAAGGCGCCCCAGGTAGCCTATGGTTTTGCGGGGCTGGGGAGTGGGATTCATAATGCCTCTTCACCCACATTGCCTATCCAGGCCTTGTGTCTGGATTGGGGTCACTCCCTATGTCCACCTCCCCAGCAGACTGGGAGCCCCTAGAGGTCAGGCACCAAGTCCATTCACCTTCAGAGCCCTGTGCTCCAGCATGATGCCTGGCATGTAGTAGATGTTCAGTAAGTTACAAGGAAGCAAGATCTGGCAGCCAGAGAGAGGTCCTGGTTCAAGGATGACTCCACCACCCAGGTCTACCAGGTACCATGGACAAGAGAGTCATGTACTCCCCTAGGTCTGTTTCTTTGTTTGCAAATAGGAATAACACCATTTCCAGGGAAAGCACCAAAGCATGAGATGAATGCTAGTCATACTTCAAGCTTCAGCTCAGCCATCCCTCCATTTTGGAGTCTTTTCTGCAGGCATGTTCTTCCTCCCCCACCACTGAACCCACTCTGCATTGGACTATTTTATATTTTTCATATCAGTGTAACTACTTGTTTCTAAGTTTGATTTCCTCACTTGTTTCTAAGCTCCTAGATGCCAAGGGCATCATGCGTTTGTGTCCAAGGCGTGACAAAATGGGCACATGGGCCTGGTTCCTGGGGCTCTCCCATCCTATGGACCCAGCGCTGGTACTGTACCCTCCTACAAGATGTCCCAATGTGCAGAGCATGGGGGCCCACCAAATGTGCTGAAAAGGGAGGTGGGAAGGGACACTGCAAACATAACCTGTGAAAGAAGTCACACCTCTGAGACCTGCGTCTCCTCTGCAGGTGCAGGTGAGCTTGTTTGCCTGGCTGACTCTGCAGCCCAAGGGCCTCCAGGGCACAGATTGCTGCTTCTTTCCTTACATAAAGCAGCTGACAGCCAGATAAATAATACATGGGTTTCACTGTGCAGACACAGGTACCAGGCATGCAAACACTTGCTTTGCCCTGGGAGCCCTGGGTATGTGAATATATGATATCTGGCTTGCACAACCCCAGAGGGTCTATGAATTGAGAACCCACGCCCACCTCACACACACCACTGCCTCACCAGGGTCTGGAACCAGGTAGCACTAGACCCAAGCAGTGTGTCCAGAGAGGAAACGTACAACCCACAAGATGGATACACACACCCTAAACCAGTTTATATGGTCTCTTTCCAGATAAATATCCTTGGAGCCCCAGGTTCTCATTGGTTTCCCTTCAAACAGCAAACCTGTATGCAAGGTGTGTACACCCTCTATGCAAGTAATCCCAAAGGCCTAGCCAAGACAACACCTTCCCAGATCACAGCCACCGCACAGGGCGCACGGATGCCTCCCCCACTCACTCTGCCTGCCGTGCCAGGCGCCAGCACACCCACCAGGCGCATACAATCCTATTTGCAAAAGGCCTGTCCACCCGCCTCCCTTCTCCCCCAACCCCCCCACCGCCAGGTCCGATTACACTCCAAGCGCGGGCCCCGCCACGTTGGCAGGAGGGGGCCAGGGCACACCCACGGGCGGCCCCGCGACCCCGAGGGGAGAGCAGGGGGCGCAGGGCCAGATGGGCAGGGTAGCGGACACCCCCTCCCTCCTCTAGAGGGCCGGCAGCTTACGCCCCTTCCCCGCCCGGGTCCCCGCGGCCAACGTGACCTGCGTTGAGGGGTCGTGAAAGCGAGCAGCCCCAGCCCCCGGGAGCCCGCAGCCGCCCCCCTCAGGGCCTCCGGCGCGAGGCTGGCCGGGCGGGGTACCTCAGGAGCCCATGGCGGTGGCGGTGGCGGCGGCGGCTTGTTCGGGCGACGCGAGGCAGCCAGATTCTGCGGACGGGGAGAGCGGGCGGCGCCGCGGGCCGGCGTCTCGTCGCCGCCGGCGCGTCCCGGGCCCAGCGGAGTGCTGCCGCAGCGCGCCTGCGCACTAAGCGCGCCTCCGGGGAAGGCGGGGCGGCGAGCGCGCAGCTGAGATCACCCGCCCGGCCTTAAAGGGGCCGCGCCCCGAGCCTCAGCTCTCCGCTGCGTGCGGGGGAGGAGGAGCCCGGGTGTCCTGCGGCTGGCCAACAAACCAGTCAGGAGTCACCTCCCCAGCCTCACTTCGAACCCCCAACCCTGCCCACCAGCAGAGTTTCTTAGGGTGCACAAAAGAGCCGTGGGGCTCTAAACTCTGTCCCTGACACTCGCTGGCTGTCTGGAGCTTCACGTCTCTTAACCCTAATTTCCTCCATTTGGGCCTATTTTGAAGATGAAACGATAGGTAATGGCTGTTTGTCGAGTGAAGGCTAAGTGTGAAATTGTGGAATGAGCGGATACCGAAATGCTGTGTGCAATCACGCGCGAGATGAAATTGTAAAGCGAAGAGCCTTTTTCTTCCCGCTCACTTAGCGGCGCTTCTTTCTTGCCCCGCCCCGCGTTAGGCGGCCAAACTAGCAAAATTTTTCAGAGGTCATTCAAGCTGCGCAAACCATTGCTGTTTGCCAGGTCCACACCTTAGGCAAGTTAACTGAGAAATGCAAAATCCAATCAAGGTCTGTCGTTGATGTGCTCAAGATCCCCAAATTTATTTATAACTCCTCCCTGAACTGTCTACTCAGTACTTGATACTTGATGTCCAATAAGCGTCTCACAGTCAACGTGCCCACAACTGAACCCACCTCCCCTCCCCAGTACATGCAAACTTGCACCCTCACAGTCTCCCCCTCAACAGCAGTTGGCCCTCCAGCCGCAGCAAAGAATTGAAGGAGAGAGACATAGTAGTGATAGGCGGAGCAAAAGTTTTATTTGAATCCACTCCAAGGGAGAAACAGGGTAGAATCAAGGTAGACAAAGGCAGGTTTACTTGAATAAAGCAGAAGGGGAAGCTCACTGATGGGAACTCGTAAGTTCAAATCGGAGCTCTCAGTAGCCCCTCTCCACTCATCTGAAGAAGGACAGAGAGAGTGAAGACTCGTGCTTAAAGTCTGGAAAATAGAATGAAAGAGCAAAGTGGTAAAAACACCACTGTGTATATGAAACCATCATAAGATTGTATGTCAATGATGCTTTAATAAAAAGAAAGAAAGAAATGGGGAAAAAAGATAAGGCCCTTCTATTCTTGTTATGCTATTCATTGTGGCATTTTTAGGAAAATTAATCATGGTGCTTGTCCCATGTCTCTGCTCTATCTCACTTGCATCAGCTACAAGCAAGTCTCAAGGTCAGCTCAGATTCAGAGCCTGTGGAATGAACTCACATTGCAAAGGGCGTTAACTCTGTGAGTCCCTTCTGGCTCTGTGGCTTTATCTGATTAACTCCCTGATTTCTTGGTGGGCCCCATCCTCTTCTCATCCAGTTCTTATCTGTCTTTCTACCTAACAATTCCATCCTTCCAGCACATATTGAAGTATTTTTGTTACAGACTGAATGTGTTCCTCCAAATTGCATATGCTGAAATCCTCATCCCCAGTGTGACAGTACCGGAGGGCCGTTGGGAGGGCAGGAGGGCCGTTGGGAGGGCATTAGGTCATGAGAGTGGAGCCCTCATGAAAGGGATTAGTGCCCCTACAAAAGGGACCCTGCAGAGCCCTCTTATCTTCTTTCTGTCGGGTATACCAGGTGAGAATACAAGGAGTTGGCAACCTGAAACCTCAAAGAGGGTTCTCACCAGAACCTTACCATGCTGGCAGGCACTCTCATCCCAGACTTAGAGCCTCCAGAACTAAGAGAGATAAATTTCTGTTGTTGATAAGCCACCCCGTCTATGGTACTTGGTTACAGCAGCCCAAATAGACCAAGATCATTGCAGTGTTCTCCTAACCTATTTCCCTTTTTCCAACCTTGCCCCCTGCCCCAATCTATGTCAGTAAAGGAGCCACAGGGGGTCTTTTAAAAACTAAGTTAGAACACGGCCCTTCTTTGCTCAAATCCTTCCACTGGCTCCCCATTTTACACTGAGTAAAAGCAAAGTCTTTATGAATCCCTACAAACCTTGCTTGCTCTGACATCCTACCCACGCAGGTGTGTCGGAGCCCTTCTTCTCCTCTTCTTTCCCTCCACATTGGCCCCTTGGTGTTCCTAGAACAAGCCAAACACACTTGGCCTCAAAGCCTTTTAGCTGGCAGTTCCGTTTGCTGGGATTGCTTTTCCCTCATATATCCAAATAGCTCCTCCCTCACCTTCTGCAAGGGTTTGTTCAAATGTTCCTCACTCAGTGAGGCCGGCCCTGACCACCCTGGTAAAATTGTTAACCCCCTCACATGTACTCCTGATTCCCCCCTTGCCATGCTCAATGTTTTCTCCCATCACCGAATTTCTATCACATAGATTGCCTGTTTTTCTGTTTGTCTTCTGCCAGTAGAACATAAACTCTATGAGAACAGAAATTTGTGTCCTTTTTGTTTCCTGATGTAACCCCAGTGCTTTGTACAGGGGCTGGCATACAGAACATGCTCAAAAAGTATTTGTGGTACGAATGAAGATCCTCTAGAAAGAGTCTTATGGAAACTTCTTTCCCAGCCCCAGGTAAGGAGTTCTTTGGGGCTCTCCCAGCCCACGGAACAAGCCTTATCAATTGCATCATAATCATTTGCTTATGACTTCCCAGCTTCCCAGGGTAAAGTCCTTGTCTCTATTTCACTATTCCTAATGCTTAGCTAAAAAGCTGACAAGCCTGACACACTCAACATCCACTGTCCCCTCCAGAGCAGTGGGGCCAAACTGCACTCAGATTCAGGTTCTCAGTTGTCACCAAAGGCAGGCTGGCATCTCAGCTTACAGAGGCCCCAGGGTGATGGGGACAGAGGCAGGTGGTGAGTATTTTAAGGCTTGAATGCCAGAAAGGGGCTTAAAGACAGGGAGTCACCTGGCCTGAGGGACATAGCAGGTCATGGCAGGTCAGCAGGTGGCTCTGGGAGGCCTTGCTGGCGCTCCCTGTCTCTCCTCCTCTCCCCCAGGCTTTCCAAAATAAAGATAAACAGTTACCCCATCTCCTCCCCTCTCCACGAAATTGCCCATCCATCCAGGTTTAAGAATGCTGCTCACACCTGTCCCCTCTCCCCGCTGCGACTGGGGTCACTGCCCTGGTTCAGGTCCCCTTACCTGTGGACAGTAGAACAGTCACCCCCCCACCAGCCACCTTTACACCTGTGCATTGGTTACTGAACTAAGAATGCCTTTCCCCACTTCCAGCAAACAGCTACTTTTCCTTCAAAGACCAAATCAGATATTCTTCGGTTCTTTCTTGATCCCCCCACCCCAATTTTGCCCATTTTGTTTTAGTCTCTCCCTAACAAAGAATTGGAAATAATCTGAAAGTAACAGAAGAAGAGTTAAGTAAATTATGGTATATCTATACAAATTATGGTATATCTATACAAATTATGGTATATCTATACAATGCCAATTATGTAGATATTAAAATACCCACTTTACACATTTCTTATAACATGGGGTAATGATTAGAAATAATATTGAGTGAAAAAGGCAGTAATAAATTTACATGACAGCCTGGTCTGAACTCTGAAAAAAAAAGGCTTAGGGAAAAATTGGAAGGAAATATGACAATATGTTAACAGTGGGTTCTCCTAAGTGGCAGGATTTTGAATATAGGTTTGGTTACTCTCTCTCTCCCTCCCTTTGTTTCATGTGTTTTCCAAAATTTGTTTGCAGAAAGAGTGTAATATTTTCAAAATAAGAGAAAATTGCTATTTAAAGAGATGACTTATTGTTCCCTTCTGTTTGCTTCTTACCGTGCATCATAACTCATGCGACTTTATCTGTCTTCCCCACCAGACTGAGGACCTCTCAAGGGTACAACCAGGCTGGGTTATCTCTGCATCCCAAATCCACTCCCAATCTGGAAAGAGGAGTGTGGAGCAAAGAGCCAAGGCCTCATCCGTGCAAGCTGATGAGTGGCCCAGAGCCCAGAGCTTTCTGGAGCCGTTTACCTGCAGCCCCTGCGTCTCCTACTTGTCCCCAAGGATGCTGTGGGAGACCCGCCCTGGTGCCCTGGAGAGGCAGGGTGGTAGGGCAGGCAGAGCCCAGGCCCAGCTCCATTACTTCCTAGCAGTCTGACTTTAAGCATGTGGCTTTGCCTCTCTGAGCCTCAGTTTCCCCAGTAGGTAAGGGCAGTATAAGAACAATCTATCTGGCAGGACTGTCCTGACAAATATACATGAAAATGTTGGCACAGTACTATGCACCCGGCTGATGATGGTGCCACTGTATGTACATTATGATGGCTGAAGCTTCTTACCTGAATTAGACCTTTTTGGTTGCAAGGGACTGAAACCCAGTTCAAACTAAGCTAAACAAAGGAAGCAAATTTATGGGCAACCTTAATTAGGAAGTGCAGGCAGAGCTGGATTTGAGGCCTCGCATATGGTCACTGGGACACTATTTCTGTGTGCCTGTGTGAGGTGGCCTCATTCCCAGGCGGTCTTTCCTCCCAGGGGCAATGGCAAAGAGAGCACATGTTTCCCAAGAATCCCAAAAGTTACCTCACAGGATTGCCTCTGATGGGTCCATCATGGGTCATGTTCCCATCTCTGAGCTCATCACTGTAGCCAGGAAATGCAGTACACTAACTGCCAGGCCTAGATCATGGCCCCACCCCTGGAGCTGCTGGGTGGAATCAGCCTCCTCTGAACCTAAAAAGCTGAGAGGAAGGGGTGTGTCCCTTAAGGAAAAAGGGGTGCCATGACCGCAAGAGCCAGAAGTAAGTACTACGGGGTAAACACCCTCAGGTAGTCAGTGCTCCAGGAGTCAGCTCTTCCAGGATCGCCCAGAAAGGAAGATCAGGGATGTGGCAGAAATGTGACTCTGACCAGAGCAGAGATGAAGGGAACCAGGATAGAGCCATCAGGTTGGGGTAGCTCTTCCCAGGCCTTTAGCCTGTGCAGTGGCCAAACTCCCTGGTCCAAATCCCAGCTCCACCACTGA